AATGTAAAAACAATATGAAAAAACCATCATTACTAATTTTGACTTGATACATTCTTTTCAGTATTAACTTTTGATTTTGAAAGCAATACGTTTCATATTTCAGTATATCTAAGCAACCTTTTGTTTGACAGAGGATGTACGTTTAAAATCAAGTATCTTCCATTCTTGTCTCAAGGTTTGTACATTATTGGTAAAGATGTATGCAGTACTTAATTTATGCATAATTAAAATTAAATCAATCTTTATTTATAATAAAGAGTGTATACCGGATTGAAAAGTTGAGTTCCATCAAAACTTATCGGCTACTAGCTTGCATGACCACTTGTAGGAATGAGCCAAAGGGCAAGAACCTCCCTGTTCCTTTTTTATTACTGGTGATAAGTTCACTGGAATAATGAAATGACCACAAAGATATTCTTTTGCAAATTCAGTTTGATCAGTTTTAATATTACAGGTATATACAGTTACTCCCACCCAGACCCAGCCATTATTAACTCTAAAACTGGCTATATTAGTTTCAACCAAAGCAACAACGACTATCTAAACACAGCCATTAATCTTCCTTACAAATAATTGACTTCCTAAGCAGGTGAATTTCGAGCTATGTAAACGGAAGAATTGCATGACAAGAGGATGATAATTATATAACATTACGCTGAAACAAACGTCACAGAAACAAATATATGGATCTGAGCCATCACTCCGTCGTACCAAAGGTGCAAGTATTGCCCATTGCACATATGCCCTCTGCGAGACTCCAAAAAGCACACTTTGTGGAGTCATTTCAGTCGTTGGAGAGTATAACCCCTTTTCATTGAATCACTTTACTGTTTTTAAAGATTTTTTTCATGAAATTGGATGTAAAGTTTCGATGAATATTGAACTTGTTCGAGATGATATTTTTAAACTAATTTAGCTGTAATTAAATAATAAAGTGTGGACAGTCGTACTTGACCATAGAAGAGGGAACAGATTACAGAAATGAAAATCACGTGTTTTACTCCATTTGCTTGTGAACTACATAGCAGTAAAACAATGCAAAAACGGTTCCATTACATACTCGATCTACAGGAAGGAAAGTGTCTGATCCGTATGTTACAGTTATGAATATTTAGAGTACAGACTATTAAGCTAATGCTGGTACTCTGCTTTTATTAATAATACAATTATTACGTATTTTTAATCTATATTGTTTGGTTAAACTTTGTACATTATTGTTAGCTTTAAAACAAATGTGAACATATGTAACTTTTGACCATGGTTGTAATTTATAAAAAGAGTGTCTACACAACACTTAAGTTTATAACATTCTATTCCCAGTCCTTTCTACAATTAGATTGGAATTTTCCGTTCGAATGATTCACATCGAAGTAATGTGAAAATGTTTATAAACAGGGACTTCATAAACAATTAATTCCTCTCTTACGTCATTCTGTAGGAATCCCTTTGATCAGAGTTTACAGCTGTACTCATATATAATTTGAGAGGAGTTATTTATTTAAACTATTCATTGGAATTACTAAAGTACTCGTTTACATTAGGATTTATACACATTACTTTGAATTTGTGTGCCCTCACTCAAAGACATTCAGGATCGCAACATTGTGTTGTAGAGAAATGAGTTGTTTGTTGATTTGTTGAAATTGTTGGTTTCACTTTCTTCCTCTTAAGCAATTTAAGACATAGACTTGTAACAATGGGCGCTTTAGGAAAAGACTGCTATATACATCGTCATTATCGTTGGATCATATGAATCATTATTATCTTCCCTGGTTTCGATTCTCAGATGTAGTTTGTATCGATCGCAGTCATTATAGCATTGTATGCGGTTATATATCATGGTGAAAAGATAACATCGACCATCTGCCGTTAAGTCCATAAAGGTTTCTGAACATCCAATTACGTTTTTAATGTCCGGAGGTTTATTTGGTATGTCTTTAGCCTTTTCATCAACACAAATAAAGAGAATAGGTTGTTAGGTTCTACATAACCGGGCTAGATCACATTATTGCCTGGCTTAGCAAGCCATGCCTTTAGAATATAGGTACCATGAGATCCGATACGAATATTTCGAATCCGACACGAACAACTCGAAAAAATGGATACCCTGGGATCCATAACGAGTAAGTCGCAAAATTTGTTAACCAAGGATCCAATACGAATAACTCGAAAAATATACTGGCGATTTGTAAACTATTTCACTAAGTTGTGAAGAATGCCAAACAATGGCTATGAGATCGATTTTGTTTTGTCATGTATGTATGTATGTATGTATGTATGTATGTATGTATGTATGTATGTATGTATGTATGTATGTATGTATGTATGTATGTATGTATGTATGTATGTATGTATGTATGTATGTATGTATGTATGTATGTATGTATGTATGCATGAATGCATGCATGCATGCATGCATGCATGTATGTATGTATGTATGTATGTATGTATATATGAGCGTTCAACGGCATCTCTGCAGCATAATGGGTATATATTAAGAATTAAAGATAAAGTGTTCCTAAATAAATAGAAACATAAAAATAAACGATAAAACCCAAAGCATATTAAGATTTTTTAAAAAAAAACAACAAAATAATAAATAATATGCAATTCTGCTATTAACTCGACTGTATGTTCTTCAGGAAATTGTGATTTCCTCGGTGAGGTTGTGTTATTTGCAATAGTCGATCCTAAATAATTCCCAAATCCAATATATATATATATATATATATATATATATATATATATATATATATATATATATATATATATATTCGCTGGGGCGGCATATCATGTGATTGGATCTTTCTTTGCATTGTTTTGAAAACCGTAACTATGCATCAATTACTTGTGAAGAATTTACAACATATCCGATGATGCTAATATCAACTGTAATATATTTAACTGTTTCAAAAGAACAGCAGATATCAAATTCACACTTAAATATCGTAACTTTCCAAAAACATGCAACCATTGTATCACCGTGATGGTAATTTTTTGGTGATGGTGGTGGTGGTGGTGGAAATATTGTTATTGGTTTTATAGCAAAGTCAAGTTTTAAAAAATGCCAAGACTTTAAAATGTATCTGTCCTTTCAGTAACACTTTAATGTTTCTTTGATTCATATTATTATTATTATTATTATTATTATTATTATTATTATTATTATTATTATTATTATTATTATTATTATCATCAACATGATCACTGTATAAGTCTTCTCTCCATGTGAGTTCCAGTCTCTGACAGCGTGAGGAAGCTGGGAAGTAGCTTCCATTATGTCGCTGGTTCTTTCTCCTCCAAATACGCTGACCGCCATGTGTTCACAAATTGCATTGAACACAACAAAGCCCATCTACACTACAAAAGGTTCCACTCTGTTGATCCTATTCACAGAAAGGGCTAACATATCGGAACCTTGGTTAGCGAAGAGGCACAAAAACACACCAGGAAATTATGTAAATGAACAATCTCTCTCTCTCTCTCTCTCTCTCTCTCTCTCTCTCTCTCTCTCTCTCTCTCTCTCTCTCTCTCTCTCTCTCTCTCTCTCTCTCTCTCTCATGTTTGAATGAATTATCAATTTTTGGCTATCATCGTAATAATGAACATAATCAAGATGTCATTGCCAATATGAAATTGCCGTCATATCAACAAGTACTCTATAAATTACGAGAAAAACTAATCAATTGACATTGGTTATATGTTCAAAATTTAGGTCCCTTATCACATTAGGTTTGGCTAACCACATATATCCTCTGGTTATGGCTGCTGTTATCCGCAGTAATACCGCTGGGGCTTTATTTGATGTAGTTATCCCATTCTACATTAATCGATATCCTCAAATCTTGGCAACCCTTTTCCAGTTCAGAACACCCTAGTGATTTTCGCTACTTGGACACTGGTGGACATTCCAACTACCACACATATATGCTCACATGTACTCGCTGGCTAGGAATCAATATGTTTGCACCGTAATTTGAAGCGGATACGTTAAGTCCCCCACCTGATTTCACATTTGTCGTTATTTGATATACGTTGATCAAATTTATACTAAAACAGATGGTGTTGTTTTGCTTTAGAAATGTGATATGTCTGGAACACCATGCTCATATTAAATCTACACGATTTCGTTTGCAGAACAATTGAAAAAGCATACATCTTGTACAAACGGCATTGTTATCTCGATTCTTTTACGAATAATGATGCAGTTTTCATACGAGTTGCAACCCGACTATGTACAGACAATAATATTAGCATATTCCCCATACACATTTGTGATTGAGCTCAAAACAATTTTGTAAAAAATCCGGCTTTTTCATATGAACACAATTTTGTATTGCCAATTTTCATAAAGTGATATTATGAACATTTTTTATCATCCTTTTTCACATGAAACTGCCCTAAGCGCATTCGCGCGTGTGCTTTCAAAGTTTCATATTTTTCCACTGTGCTAGTAATCACATTAGTCAGAATGATATAAGGTTCTAATTTTACCGGAACAGGATGTTTTGTCAGGATTGTGTAAGACAGAATGATTATTTGAAGCTGAACAAATTGCTTGAAATGAATTTGTCCTGGATGTAATGATTTTTTCTTTTTCATAGGACTTATGAAACCATTGTTTTAATGCAAAAGATGATGGTAATACTATCTTGGTCATATGAGTATCGAATCAATATAAATTTTGGATATTTCCTTGTTTGTCTGGTTCACAAGAAATAGTATTATATACCAGGAAAAAGTCCATGCTTTAAAAAATGGTATTTAAATTCTAAACTATTCTCCCCCAGATAGGAAATATTGGTACAAATTCCACACAAGGTCATTTGCCAGTGTCTAAAAAAATGATATTAAATAGATATGTTTAACAGTTTAGATAATAATAAGGTGTTTTATATCAACACAAAGTTTTAATCAGTTTTTTTTTACGATTACAACAAGCTATCTTAGGATAACTCTAAACTACTGGCAGGCTAATGTAACAGTTACAAAATATTTTTAACCTCTCCGGTGGCCTAGTGGTTAGAGCGTCCGCCTCGGATGCGGGAGGTCGTGGGTTCTATCCCCGATCGAGTCATACCAAAGACTTACAAAAATGGTACTAACAGCTTCCTCGCTTGACGCTCAGCACTAAGAAGTTAGTGATAGGACTTGTCGGCCTGGTGTCAGGATAATGTCACTTGTTGGGACATCATGTTACATGTCTGCGGCATGATGTCCCAGTGCTAGACATCACTATAAACTGCCACACTGCAAACATCGTAGCGATATGACTGAAAAATTGCTGAAAGCTACATTAAAAATTAAAAACATCATACCACATCACAAATTATTTATTTGAAATAAAAAACCCCAGAAATCATGGGTTTTAAATGTATTTCAGATACATTTGTTTTTAACAAAGTGATTACATTAATAGCAACAAATTGTCAAACTAAATCTGTACTAAGATATGAGATGTTAATATGCGAATATGTGGTGTTACTATCTGGATAGACGGTGTGAATATGCACATGGTTATTGCATATATGGCGCCAATATTGTTTTAATTAACATTTCTGACCGCTAGGGGGCGCGGAACTGGAATGTGGCGAATACCTATGATCAGTACAAACGCCACCAGCTGTTGCCTGGCACATATAATTTCGCAGTCTCTATATGGATAAACGTACCGCTTCGGTGGCCTAGTGGTTAGTGTCCGCTTCGAATGCGTAAAGTCGTGGGTTCTATCCTCGTTTGAGTCATACCAAAGACTTACAAAAATGGTACTAACAGCCGTCTCCCTTGACGCTTAGCATTTCGAGGTTAGTGTTAGGCCTGGATATAGGCTTGGTCGGCCTGGTATCAGGATAATATGACTGGGTGGGACATCATGTTACATGTCTGCGGCATGATGCCCAAGTGCTAGACAGTACCTTAAACTGCCACGCTGAAGACATCGTAGCGATATGACTGAAAAATTGTTAAAGCTACGTCAAAAGTCATAATCACATCACAACACATCACATGGGTAAACGTAGAAGCAAAGCAAAATAAATGTCGAAGTCCAACAAAGTGGACTTAAGGATAGAAAATATGTATATCATAACTTTGAGCCTTAATAACTATGAAAGTATTGATTGCATTTAGCTCAGATTCTGAAACTGGCATATGTTTAGAAATGCATTTTTCAGAGTTTAATGAGAAAGCATGTGCTTTCATTAAAGGCAGTAAGTCTGTAAAATAAAATTTTATGAGAATAATAGAGACTTTTCTATATAAATAGGGGACGGTTTAGGGTTTAGGATTAATAGTGGAACTATTAAACAAACTTCGAAGTCTAAGATAAATTTTGGCGTGTGACCTCGGAAGCAGGAAAAAAAATCCACAAGAACTTTATGCATATTCATACATGGTGCTATTATATACAATGGTCTACTATTGGAAACCATTGAATTTCTGATAAATATTATTTTCCGTCACTTATCCATTTACCTAATGCAGAATCATGCCTAATCAATGTCCATTCTAATAATGATTTGATCTACATCTTACCTATTTACTTGAAGTAGAATCATGCCTAATGTCCATTCTAATAATGATTTGATCTACGTCATACTTATTTACATGAAGTAAAATCAGGCCTAATGTCCATTCTAATAATGATTTGATCTACGTCATACTTATTTACATGAAGTAAAATCAGGCCTAATGTCCATTCTAATAATAATTTGATCTACATCTTACCTATTTACTTGAAGTAGAATCATGCCTAATATCCATTCTAATAATGATTTGATCTACATCATACTTATTTACATGAAGTAGAATCATGCCTAATGTCCATTCTAATAATAATTTGATCTACATCTTACCTATTTACTTGAAGTAGAATCATGCCTAATGTCCATTCTAATAATGATTTGATCTACGTCATACTTATTTACATGAAGTAAAATCATGCCTAATGTCCATTCTAATAATGATTTGATCTACGTCATACTTATTTACATGAAGTAAAATCAGGCCTAATGTCCATTCTAATAATGATTTGATCTACGTCATACTTATTTACATGAAGTAAAATCATGCCTAATGTCCATTCTAATAATGATTTGATCTACGTCATACTTATTTACATGAAGTAAAATCAGGCCTAATGTCCATTCTAATAATAATTTGATCTACATCTTACCTATTTACTTGAAGTAGAATCATGCCTAATATCCATTCTAATAATGATTTGATCTACATCATACTTATTTACATGAAGTAGAATCATGCCTAATGTCCATTCTAATAATAATTTGATCTACATCTTACCTATTTACTTGAAGTAGAATCATGCCTAATGTCCATTCTAATAATGATTTGATCTACGTCATACTTATTTACATGAAGTAAAATCATGCCTAATGTCCATTCTAATAATGATTTGATCTACGTCATACTTATTTACATGAAGTAAAATCAGGCCTAATGTCCATTCTAATAATGATTTGATCTACGTCATACTTATTTACATGAAGTAAAATCAGGCCTAATGTCCATTCTAATAATGATTTGATCTACGACATACTTATTTACATGAAGTAAAATCATGCATAATTAATGTCCATTGTAATAATAAAGCAAAACAGGAGGTGAACAGACCATTTGCTTGAGACATTATTTCTGAAAAATAAAGCTTTCTACGAAAATGAAATTTAAGTTCAATATCGTCTAAACCGAAGCCTCTAACTGACCATGAGATTTCTCTAATTTGATAAGTTCCTCTTGTTACTTTCATTTTGAAGTTTGTGTTTTCAATATTCTTTGCGACTCCTTTACGTGCTGGTTACCCAACACTGGTCATTCACTTCCTCTACTTCTGTAATTAACCAAAATATGTATCGAGACCTATACGATATCTTTACGAAGGGTCAAGTCATTTTATCGTTTTATATCCGTAGGTTATCTTGCGCCACTGAAAATAAATTTTTAATTTAATCATATCCACATCCCCTGAACACAAGGTACAATAAATATTTTGTAAAATTATAACTATCTACTCCATTAAACACAACAAAAATATTATAATTGTCTCTAATTACTTTAGTTATTTGTATATATCGCTCAGTAACACAAATCCCATCTATGTTTTTATGTCTACCTCTGGAAAATATTCTATCTGGATTTGATTGTTTGTCCAGAATTAATCGTATACTACAAGATTAATAATACGCGCATCTAGATCAACTACAGATGGGGCCTCATCAGTATCGGTAATAAAAATCAACAAAGTTGACTTCGTCAATGTCACTGTCATCATCGTCATAAAACGATTTTGCGTTTTCATTAAAATCTTTAAGTACTTCATAACACCGTTGAGTTGATCATCTACACATGCTGCTATTAAATACAATTTATCCCACTTGAGCCATTTCATTAAGGAATAATTTTGTTTTACCAGACCCAGATGAGCCTATTATTATACACCTGACAAAATTCGGTAGCGCTGGATGATGCTTAACTCGTTCTTTTTTTAGTGTCACCGAAAAATGAATGATATCCATGTTATACAGATATAATATTTATATGGATTTATGTTGTGTTCGATGCATGGCAGACAACCCCACCAGTGGATTGACAACAATAACAAAAAGAAGGGTGCACGCACAGGCATGCGTGCGAAATGTGATAAAGAAAATTACAAATTTATTCCGCGTCGCAAATAGTGCGCTGTGGTGATATTGCTGCTCCACTTGGCAAATTACCAGGAACTCCGTGGGCTAAATGCCCAGGAGAAAAACGTTACCTGGATATAATTATTGTGGTCCATGAACCCGATTTGATATCCGACTTGACCAACGAGACCAACCATGACCTAGAGAGTATCAAATAAATGCAACTGATCAAGCGTGTTACGTTCATGATGTCGCGTATAAAAGTAAAGATTTGCAACAACGGTATGTTGCAGATGCAAAATTAATTAACGCATTAAATTCCGTAAATAATAAATATCTCAGAGAGAAGCTTGCTAGCTTCCTAGTAAAATCCGCAATGAAAGGTAAACTAGTACTAGGGGCTGGTAATTAATCAACTGATCATTACCATACAATGAAATCGATTTGTTATAATCCAGGAGGATATTGGAGTGGTAGAGCAGTGGTTGCCATACTTGATGATGCAGCAGGTGTCTCATGTTCTGTTGCTTCAAATGGTTAGCACGACAGGCAATATGCAAATGTTTTTACCACCACCTAAAGAAATTCAGTATGCATATTTTGATGTTAACGTTCCCAAAGAAATTCATCAAGCAGATAATTTGTTTTTACCAGATGATACCAATAAAACAGGAAGACGTAAATCACTAACATACAAATACATTAACTGTCGTTGATGTGTCAAGTAGATATAAAGAAGCAAAACCTTATCAAGTAAAACAGCATCTGAAGTTGCCTCTGCGTTTTAACGAATTTATCAACAAGGATACTTGCGGTGGCCATAACTATTACGGGTTGATCATAGCAAAGAAGTGTCGCCGATGCTACAATGAATGACAAACGAGCAGTAAAGATTATTATCTACCTTGATTGTCAAAAATATTTTATCCTGATTAAATTTATTGTAGAGACATTCGACGATAACTGGATTGTCCGTGACAAACGCACACATTGTCACGTTAAATAAAAATTCCAAACTAGGAACTATGACTGGTATTGGCAAACTATATTATGAATGAGCATATCACGTGACTGAAGTTATTTATGCGTTGTATCCGATGAATGATAAATCCAACGTCAATGATCTCAAACCGATGAAATTTTCGCTCTTAAATTGTGTAGCCATGCGAGTTACAGAACACTTCACAAACGCGATGCTTGGGAAAGGTTTAACTGAGTTAAGACGTAAAAAAAAACTTTGGGGCAGAAATAGTTAAAGATACCGGAGCTTATATTCAAGATGTTGCTGAACTAGAGAAAAAAATCCCAATAACAGTGAAAACACTAACAGGAGAGATTATACATAAGTCGAAATATGTATGAAGAGGAGCTTAGATAGCGATCATTGATCATAACGCACGTGCATGGACTGTGGCAGTGACAATATTTCAAC